TTGGCCTGCGAGTGGGTCCGAGATGCTGCGGCCCCACATGTCGGTGAAGGGGAGGATCGGTTTGGGAAAGGGCGGGTGTTCTGGGGCCGCGCGGGAGACGGAGCTCGCTTTCCCGCCATCTCTCTCGCTCGCCGCGTGGGAGCTCCTTTTTTTTTTTGAGGGCCGAAACCGATTTTACAGGGCGAAGCCCATTGATACTCATCGCTAGCCTGTTCTCTCCGCTCGCTCGCTCTTCGCCCCTGGCCTGTTCGCCCGTTTGGCTAAAAAAAAGATCTGTTTGCTCGATTTTCTTTCTTCTGGACTGGTCTTTGTTTCAAGATAAAAACTACATTTTCACAGATTTGAAAAGTTAAATAGACTTGAAAAAGTTCTTGAATTTTAAAAAGGTTCACGGATTTCATGGCGTACATGGATTTGAAAAAAGCTCGCAAGATTTGGAAAAGGTTCACAAATTTCAGAAAAGTTCATCGATTTGAAAAAAGTCCAACGATTATGAAAGAAAGTTCATCAAATTTGAAAAAAGTTCACGAAATTTGAGAAAAGTTCATTGAATTTTAAATAAGTTCATCGAATTTGAAAAAAAGTTCATCAATTTTGAAGAAAAAACTCATCAATTTAAAAAAAATCATAAATTTTGAAAATAAGTTCACTTGAATGTTAGCCAAAACTTGGAAAAAAATATTGCGGTTTTGAGAAAAGTCCACGTGTTTAAGGAGAAAGAAAAAGGAAAAGGAAACAGAAAACAAAAACAAAAAAACGAGTAAAAACCGGCCAAAGAAAACAGGGAAAAAACAGAGTCCAATCTTTATTGTTACTACAAGTTCACGCAGCACGGAACGAATAAAAGAAATAGGTAATCACAAGACGTGAGGTGTCCCAGCTGGTTATCGCAGTTAGAATCGAACCTGGAGTTTCAGGGATAAAATCCCACAGACACTTGTTTTTTGAAGTTTTGAAGAAACGGAAGAGAAAGCGTAAACGGGCCAAGCCCATGCCGGAGGAGGGTATGCGCAGGTTTGTAGAATAGCCTTTAATGGGCGCTGAGAGCACCAGATAGGAAATGTTGCCTTCCCTTCCCTCCTCGGCTTGGGGTTTGGAATTTGGACTTTCGATTTCGTTTATACTACATTGTTTGAAATTTCTGAGCATCTCAAAATGGAAGGAGATGCATGTAAATTGTTGTAACAAAGTGTCGTGCAGTTTGTGTGCCCTGAAAAATTGAAGAAGTGTATCAATCGCATAATCTGCAACACTCGACACATTTTAAGTAAGTAAGGCATCTCCAACGCGGACCCTCGACCACCCTGCATCCATCCGGGTCGTAGATGTGGGGCTTTGCGGGAGTCGGGACTGCCACCACACACGACTCTGACATCCCCGATCCACTTTTCTCCCACTCCGCCCCTGCTCCCCCTGCTTTGGATCCGCACCTTTCTCATCCGCCACAATCGTTGTACCTCTTCGGCTGTCGCCCGGGCATCATAGGACATCAGTGGCCCCTAGCAACGTGTACGCGCTCCTTGTCCTACATGGTCGTCCACCTAGATTCCCTCTGCAACCAGGTACCCTCCGCCCCCTACGGACGAAGTTTTAGGGGACAAGGCTGGATGGTCGGCTCCCTCAACACTGCGTGCGGACAAACACCGTGTCCGTTTTGAGGTTTAGCGTTGAAGATGCCCTAAACTGCATTCCAACTTGGAATGTTTTTTTGCCTAGCATAACTTTGGTTAAACAATTTACAAGCGGAACTTGAGTGGAAAGCACGTAGATGGTGTTACGACTCATGGGTGCCTCACACTGTTGGTTGTCGGGCCTCCCCAAGGCCCCCTGGGTCGGTTTTTGTCTTGTGTCATCATATCAGTCCATGGGCTCTGTAGAAGGAAGACTCTGGAGGTCTAGTCGTCCAAGACAAGAAAATCAGAAGCTCATGACTTGTAAGACACGCATGGCAGTGTAGCACTTTTGTTAATAGTAATCGTCCCAGTGAAGGGCGGGGGAGAGTATTTATGAGTGGCGTTTCGATCACACACAAGTTGTCACCGTGCTCGTGTGAAGTAACGGTTTGAGTGTCTGCAGAAGCTATTTTATTTTCTTTGGAAATAAACCGAAGTGGTAAAAATATTGGATTGTGGTTGCGAGAATATAAAAACTTAGAAGTAAAGAAAAGACAGAAAATAAAGTGTTTTCTTACAATAGAGATATTAGGTGAACTTCGGATCATGGTATACATCAAGTGTGCTAGTGTGACGGTAATTCCAGTTACCCTGTATTGTAGTATTCCAGTTTTTTTCAGTAGGCGGATCACCCTAGGGTTATGGAACTCCTTCACACGGGGTTACATTCCATACCATGGTTCCGCTTCGACGTTGCCACTACATAGTCGTCTCTGTTGGAAATATGCCCTATAGGAAATAATATTATATTATTATATATCCATGTTCATAATTAAGAGTTTTTATTCTATGCTATAATTTCTATGATCCTAGAATGTGCAATTCAGTGAAAAACTCATATGCACTTGTGGAATAATAAAGGGTAAAAAATAATATTCATAGTATTCAATGCACTTTATATGAAAGTTTTTATTATATCCCTCTTGGATGTCTATCATATTAGGACTAAGTTCATAACCAAAGCAAATTACCATGTTGTATAGAGACTCTCAAAATAATATAAATGAAGCATGAGAGTTCAATAATTTCTACAATATAAAGCCACCGCCGTGCTCTAAAAGATATAAATGAAGCACAAGAGCAAGAATGCCTAACTCAAAATATGTAAGTGAAGCACATAGAGTATTCTGATAAATCACGATTAATGTGTGTCCCTCTCAAAATGTGTGTACAGCAAGGATGATTGTGGCAAACTAAAAAGCAAAGACTCGTATCATACAAGATGTTCCAAGCAAAACACACATCATGTGATGAATAAAAATATAGCCTCAAGTAAAGTTACTGATAGACGAAGACGAAAAGGGGATGCCTTCCGGGGCATCCCCAAGCTTAGGCTCCTGGTTGTCCTTGAATATTACCTTGGGGTGCCTTGGGCATCCCCATGCTTAGGCTCTTGCCACTCCTTATTTCATAGTCTATCAAATCCTTATCCAAAACTTGAAAACTTCACAACACAAAACTCAACAGAAAATCTCATAAGCTCCGTTAGTATAAGTAATTAAATCACCACATTTGGTAATGTTGTGAACTCATTCTTTATTTATATTGATGTAATATCTACTGTATTCCAACTCTTCCATGGTTCATACCCCCTAACACTACCCATAGATTCATCAAAATAAGCAAACAACACATAGAAAATAGAATCTGTCAAAAACAGAACAGTCTGTAGTAATCTGTGACTCTCGAATACTTCTGTAACTCCAAAAATTATGAAACATTAGGACAACCTGGGCAATTTGTTTATTAATCTTCTGCAAAAAGAATCAGTATTTTATCACGCTTCTGTTAAAAATGGAAATTATTTTCCTGGGCACAGAAGTTTATGTTTTTCAGCAAGATCAAATCAACTATCATCGTAAGCCATCCTAAAGGTCTTACTTGGCACAAACAGTAATTAAAACACAAAATCACATCTAAACAGAGATTATATAAATTATTTATTGCAAAGCAGAACCAAAAAGCAAAGAACAAAAAATAATGGGTTGCCTCCCAACAAACGCTATTGTTTAACGCCCTTAGCTAGGCATAAAACACAAATAGACCTAGGTATTGTCATCTTTGGTATGAAATCCGTAAGTAGCTCTCATAATAGATTCATATGGCAATTTAATTTTCTTTCTTGGGAAGTGTTCCATGCCCTTCCTTAACGAAAATTGAAATATAATATTTCCTTCTTCCATATCAATAATTGCATCAATCGTTCTAAGGGAAAGTCTACCAAGAATAATAGGACGTGTAGGATTGCAATCTGTATCAAGAACGATGAAATCTACGGGCACATAATTCCTATTTGCAACAATAAGAACATCATTAATTCTTCTCATGGGTTTCTTAATAGTGGGATCCGTAAAGATGCAAATTTAAAGAACAATCACATCTAACAAATGATTTGTAACAACGAAAGAGGGGACTAACCTTCTTTGCACATGCCAGAAACTTCCTCCCACTGTCCACAAATTCAAACGCAACTATCTTCACACATGGAGATTGATGGTGACAACGAGCAGACAGATCTTCAGCCACCCCGCTCCATTCGTTGCAACTGATGGTCCTAGGGAGCTACAAGAGGGAGAAATGACTCAAATCGACCGCCGGGTTAAAATCCTTCATTCCAAGTCATAGCCCGAGAGAGAAAAGAGAGGCATACCCGGGTGGTGAAGGATTTGTCGTCGGAAGAGGAATCACTGGAGAGGTCATTGAAGAAGACCATGGCGCCCCCGGCGGTAGGATGCGAGACGGCGAGAGCGAGGAAGCAATCGAGGAAGCGGCTATAGCTTATGAAGGAAGGAAGGAAAGGAGGGAGGAGGAAACATGGGAAATATGACTTGTGGTCGGGGAGAAAAGGGGTGGGGAAGGGGGCGGGGGTAGATATTTCGTAGGCCAAAAATTTCAAAATGTGGTGGGAAACTTTGCGTGCGGTGCCGCCGGACACCATTCACTTTGAACGATTGTGTTCATCACAAACGATTCTTCCGCTTTACGCGCATGGGATGAGTTTGATAATTCAAATTTGGATGGAAATTTCCCTGGGTACTGTCCTCATCCATGTTGATGACCCACAAGTATAG